TTTGGGGTAATTCCGCTACCAGTGACCGTTCCCCTTACAATAGAAGCATTTAGTCTCGAGTTTGGGTTCAACCTTGGGTTCCTTCACTGGAGCGGCAACTGGTTTGCCATCCATGAAGTTTCTCTTCTAGCCCTTGCCCTTCTTGAAAAACAATGGTCTTGTTAAACCATCAATACTTGATGCTCCTTCTTGATTTCTACCTTTTGCGGTCTTAAGCACCGCGAACAGCTCCGGAATCAACTCCATCCCTTGCATGTCATAGTTCATCATGAAGATCTAGTAACTTAGTGATAGTGGCTAGAGAACTCTATCAATCACTATCTTATCTGGAAGTTTAACTCCCACTTGATTTAAGTGATTGTAGCACCCAGACATTCTGAGCACATGCTCACTAGCTGAGCTATTCTCCTCCATCTTGTTGGCAAAAGAACTTGTCAGAGGTCTCACACCTATCAACACGGGCATGAGCCTGAAATCCCAATTTCAGCTCTTGGAACATCTCATATGTTCTATGGCGTTCAAAACGTCATTGGAATCCTGATTCTAAGCTGTAAAGTATGGTGCACTAAACTATGAAGTAGTCATCAGGATGTGTCTGTCAGGTGTTCACAACATCCACAGACGACGTTGTAGGGGTTTGCACATTGAGCGGTGCATCAAAGACATAAGCCTTCTGTGTAGCAGTGAGGACACTCCTCGGACTACGGACCTAGTCCGCATCATTGCTTACAATATCTTTCAACTTAATCTTTCTCTAGGAACGTATTGAAACAGGGAGCTACAACGTGAGCTATTTATCTACAACATATTTGCAAAGACAATTTAGACTATGTTCATGATAATTGAGTTCATCTAATCAAATTATTTAATGAACTCCCACTCAGATTGACATCCCTCTAGTCATCTAAGTGAAACATGATCTGAATCGACTAGGCCGTGTCCGATCATCACGTGAGACGGACTAGTCATCAACGTTGAACATCTCATGTTGATCGTATCTTCTATACGACTCATGTTCGACCTTTCGGTCTTCCGTGTTCCGAGGCCATGTCTGTACATGCTAGGCTCGTCAAGTCAACCTAAGTGTTTCACATGTGTCCCGAGGCCATGTCTGTACATGCTAGGCTCGTCAACACCCGTTGTATTCGAACGTTAGAATCTATCACACCCGATCATCACGTGGTGCTTCGAAACAACGAACCTTCGCAACGGTGCATAGTTAGGGGGAACAATTTTCTTGAAATTTTAGTGAGGGATCATCTTATTTAAGCTACCGTCGTTCTAAGCAAATAAGATGTAAAACATGATAAACATCACATGCAATCAAATAGTGACATGATATGGCCAATATCATTTTGCTCCTTTTGATCTCCATCTTTGGGGCTCCATGATCATCATTGTCACCGGCATGACACCATGATCTCCATCATCATGATCTCCATCATCGTGTCTTCTTGAAATTGTCTCGTCATCTATTACTTCTACTACTATGGCTAACGCTTTAGCAATAAAGTAAAGTAATTACATGACGTTTATGTTGACACGCAGGTCATAAAGAAATTAAGACAACTCCTATGGCTCCTGCCAGTTGTCATACTCATCGACATGCAAGTCATGATTCCTATTACAAGAACATGATCAATCTCATACATCACATATATCATTCATCACATCCTTTTGGCCATATCACATCACAAGGCATATGCTGCAAAAACAAGTTAGACGTCCTCTAATTGTTGTTGCAAGTTTTTACGTGGCTGCTATAGGTTTCTAGCAAGAACGTTTCTTACCTACGCCAAAACCACAACGTGATATGCCAATTTCTATTTACCCTTCATAAGGACCCTTTTCATCGAATCCGATCCGATTAAAGTGGGAGAGATAGACACCCGCTAGCCACCTTATGCAACTAGTGCATGTCAGTCGGTGGAACCAGTCTCACGCAAGAGTACGTTTAAGGTCGGTCCGGGCCGCTTCATCCCACGATGCCGCCGAATCAAGATAAGACTAGTAATGCAAAGTAAATTGACAATATCGACGCCCACAACCGCTTTGTGTTCTACTCGTGCATAGAAACTACGCATAGACCTACCTCATGATGCCACTATTGGGGATCTGAGCAGAAATTAAAAATTTCCTACGCATCACCAAGATCAATCTATGGAGTAATCTAGCAACGAGGGGAAGGGGAGTGCATCTACATACCCTTGTAGATCGCTAAGCGGAAGCGTTCAAGTGAACGGGGTTGATGGAGTCGTACTCGTCGTGATCCAAATTACCGATGATCCTAGCGCCGAACGGACGACACCTCTGCGCTCAACACACGTACGGAACAGAGATGTCTCCCACGCCTTGATCCAGCAAGGAGGAGGGAGAGGTTGAGGAAGAGCGTCCAACAGCAGCACGACGGCGTAGTGGTGATGGAGTGGCAATTCTCCGGTAGGGCTTCGCCAAGCTCACGCGGAGGAGGAGAGGTATTGGACGGGAGGGGCTGCGCCAGGTTCAAGGGTGTGGGCGCCCTCCCACCCCTCCACTATTTATAGGTGGGGAGAGAGGGGGCCGCCCCCCCCCCTTGTCGGGGGTTTGGTGCGACATATGCCAAAGGATGGCTTATCATGGTGGGGGCGAGTAGAACGTCGCCGGTGCCTGGAAACGGGATGAGGCGAAGACCTGCACGCCGGTGAATCTTACCCAGCTTCAGGGCTCTCCGAGGAGATAATACCCCTACTGCTGCTCTGCGGGGTCTCCGCGTGATCACTATGGCAAAGGGTTTACACGGTTGCTCCTTGAGCTATTTCTAGGAGGTAGGAGAGGGCAGGGCTAGCTCTCTCCCTTCTATATGATCTGGTCTAGAGCTAATGGGTTCCAACCCTTTGCATGGGTGCCCTTGGGGTTTATATAGGCCTACCCCCAGGGGTACAATGGTAATCCGGCTGGACGCGGGCCCAGCCATCAGTGCCTCTGGCCTCCGTCTTCTCTGCCGACCGCTGGGGCCCGCCGACTGGCCCTGTACGGAGCCGACAGGCCGCGCCCACCGCGGGCGGGTCTTGCCGGCTGCTGATTACTGTAGTCGTGCTTCTGATGACGCGAGCTTGATCATGAGGTCGTGGCAACAGCCCCGCCGCCCGGCGGGCGATCACTGTTGCCACTCCCCATCACATCTTGATTAATGGCGCGTGGGCCCCCGGGGAGGGCTCGGCCGACTCCCCCGGGCCGACTCCCGACGGGTCCGACTGGTGGTTCTCCTGTCGTGTCCTGAGGTCTCACTGACTGGTGGGGCCTCCTGCCTCCAGGCCGTACAGACAAACTGTCGTGGGTGCAGGATTCGGCCCTGCGATGCTGATGTCAGGGCCGGCATGGCAACAGTGCCACGCCGCACGGAGATCTTCCGGGGTACGGCGTGCTGTGGTCATGCCTGCCCTTGGTAACGGACGGGGGTGGGCTTCGCTGTAGCCACGCCCCTGCCCTGTCCCCTTTGATAAGGTCATGGGGTTTGTTGGAGTTGCAGGCCTACTCCCCAAAGCCGGCTTCTCTGGACGTCGCGAGTCGGTAGTCGGCTTTATCCTGAAGTCGTCCCTGGGACTCGGCAGCGAGCGGGCAGTCGGCCGTCTTGCCGTCGACTCCTCAGAAGGCGGCTCTTCGTTCTGGGGTCTTGAGGGGCGCAGCCTGCCCCGATGTCTTGAAAGGTTCTGGGGCTCGGGTTGGCCTACCCGTGGCCCATTACTCGGACAGTAGTCCCCGAAGCTGGTGAGGCGCCGCGGACGATCGGCCGAAAAGCCTCAGTAGTTTCTCTTTCCGGGTGCTCAACACATGGTCTTTGATGGACTTCTGCCGGGCCGACTAGAAGGAGTCAGACTCGCTCGATTCGGACTCACTCAATTCCGACTCGCACAGTATTTTGAACGTCGCAGCGGGACTCAAGTGGCGTGCTAGCTAAGCCTCCACGCCGCCGCCCGTTCTAGGCCTGTCACGCGATGGCACGTGGCTGGGCCGTCCTGCTAGCCTACGCGCGCGACGGGACAGGCCCATAGGCGGGGCCCGCCACTACCGCGCCTCGGCGCCCGAGCGGATCTGCTGCGGCCCCGGCGGACAGTTGGGATTCCCGTGGAGTTAGTGCGCGCAGTAACTTTATCGTGGAACGTGGGGGACGTGGGGCCGTGGGCACAGTAAATCCCCACGTCCGCCCCCTCGGCTTCGCAGCCCACGAGGCTATAAGTAGGGGGAAGAGGGGAGCACACGTGCCCCTCCTTCCCATTACTCCTCGCTCTCTTCCTTCTCACTGCTTCTTGCTCTCCTCCCTCTTCTTCTTCTTCGCTCCGCCGCGCGCCTAAGCTCCGGCGAACGCCACGGCGATCAGCTCGCAATGACTTCTCCCTCCGCCGCCGCGCCTCCCCCGGTGCGCTCCGGCACCTGGGACGGCTCCGAAGTTCATGAAGACCACATCGAGTTCCTCCGCCGGACTCATCGGCTCCCAGGCGAGGATCGCGTGCAGGTGCGTCTTGGGCCGAAGGGGGAGATTTCCCCCGTGCCGCAGGAGGGCGGGCGGGTTATCTTACGCTCACACTGCATGCGCGGGTTGGGGCTGTCGGTGAGCAGTCTCTTCCGATCCTTCCTGTAGTTCTACGGCCTCCAGCTGCACCACCTCACCCCCAACACAGTGGTGCTGTTGTCCACGTTCATGGCCTTGTGCGAAGGCTTCCTCGGAGTCCTCCCCACCCTCGAGCTCTGGGGGGAGTTCTTCTTCTCCAAGCTCGGCACCCAGGCTGCGGGCGTGCCGGCTCAGTGCGGCGCTTTCATCGTCGTGTGAAGGTCGGGGGCCGACAATCCCTTCCCCTCCATCTCGCTGATAAAGTCGGTGAAGATGTGGCAGAGATCCTACTTCTACGTCAGGAACGCCTCCGCGAGGGGGGACTGGGTCAACCTGCCGGCTTTCGAAGCCGGCCCGCCGGCTGAGCGACTGCCCAACTGGTCGTACCGGGCCAAGTCGCTGACGCCTGCAGGAGCCGGCGCCATCACGCGGCTTCGAGTGCTGACGTAGTCGGAGGGTTTGAATGGTCCAGACCTACTGGCCGCCTTCGTGGCGCGTCGAGTTCTCCCACTCCAAGGCCGCCCCACATGATATGCCAGATGAGCGGGCACCGTGACCCGAGTCGGATGTGCACCAAGGACATGCCTCATGAAGAGGTGGCCTTCATGGTGAACTACCTCTCAGACAGCAAGCTCCTGGAGGATTGGCAGTTCGGCAAGGAGCCGTACTCCCGCGCCAACCCCCCCGCCCGTGGTGAGTTGCCTTTCCTTTCTTTCTTTGGACTGTCTTCTTTCTTGCCGAGTTTGTTTTGACCACTCAGCTTTGGTCAGAATCCCCTCCTCCACCCGCCAGCCGGCACCTCGGGGCCGGCCCGCGAGTTCCTCGCCGACCGGGCGGAGAGCGACGTCGACGACCCTGATCTAGGGGCGGCGGCTCTGGAAGATGACGTCAAGGGAGGAGGAGGAACAGCAGGCGACTTCAGGCCTTCGGCCACTTTCGCCGATTGGCCTGACGACGACGCTGAGGGAGAAGTCGCCCCTCGCCATCGGCCAGGAGCCAGCCAGCTTGTTGTGGGCTCTTCTACCGCGCCGGGCGCTCCAAGCGGCAGGAAGAAGCGCAGGGCCGTGCCGACCATGTTCGGCAGTCGGCCGAACAAGCCCAAGGGCTCGGCTGCGGCGACCCGGCGGGACGAGGCGGCTGCGAAGGCCATCCGCTTCCGTAAGAAAGTGAAGAAACTGCTATTGGTCTCCGCGTGAGTATTCTATCTTCAAAGCTTTATTCTTTCTTTGTGACTTTGTCTGAGTCTTCACTTGCTCCTCTTGCTTCAGGGCTCCCCTCACTCTTGAGAGGGTCAGCGCCGTCTCTGTCATGGGGTCAGCGGAGACGTCCGCCACCACTCGGCGGATTGACCCCGCTGCTGACCTCCAGGAGGCGACGGAGCGGAATGCGCAGGAGAAGCGCAACGAAGAAGAGGCCCTTCGCCTGGAGAAGGCGGAGGCCGACAGGGCGGAGGCCTCCACCAAGAAAAAATTGGCGGAGGACGAAGCCGCCACCGCGACGAAGCGGCAGGCTGAGGAAGCCGCACGCCGCCAGTCGGCGGTGTTCGTCACCCCGTTGAACTCTGCGCTGCCGCCTCCGGAGTTCACGGGGCAGACTGGGGAAGCCGGCGGGGAGAACCCCGTCGTGGAGAGGGAAGGCGGCAACCCCTCTGCGCTGGACGTGAACGTTCTGCCACCGCCTCCGCCGCCGTCTGAAGGTGCGCAAGGCAAGCAGCCAGCGGACCCTTCGGTGACGCTGACCGAAGACGAGGTCGTGGCGAGGCTACTCCTCCAAGTCGGCTGGACAACGCGCCGCCGTCTGGAGAAGGCGACTTCGGCACCCCGCCCCCTGGAAGCCGGCACCGCCAGCTCGGCGATCCCAGACGCCGAAGCGATGAGTGCCGCGCCCATTGGGTGGGTGTGAGGAGGCGGCACAGGGCCGCTGAACCAGGCGCTTCTGGACGTCCAGGCGAAGCTTCGTGCCGAGGGCGACGCTCTCCAGAATTGCACCAAGGCGTACCTGGCGTCACGGGTAGTCGTCCGGGTATGTTTTTCCTTTGGTTTTTGTTTTCTTGTTCCTCTCTGTGGTGGCGCGCCAGCGCACCCACTGGGTGTAGTCCCCGAGTTTCGGGCTGGCTGCTGAGCAGGTGGCCCGGAACTCCAATTGATGAACTCTGGGTATTAACTTTTTGTCTGAAACATTTGTCATAGGACTACCACAACCTCCGCGTTACTGCCTTCAACCGTAACCTTGAAGAGCCGAGCAAGCGGACCGCCGATCTGTCGGAGAGCTGGAGTAAGTCTTTTTCCTTCTTTGCGGGGCCGCGCTGGCGCACCCGCAGGCTGTAGTCCACTAGATTTGGGCCGACTGCTGAGCAGTCGGGCCGGATCTCCCCGGCGACCTTCTTTACTGATGACTTGACGCCTTCTTTCTTCCTTCTTTTCAGGGGCCAACGCTGCTCTTCAACAGAAGCTGAGCGACACCAACTCTGCTTTGCGCGCCAAAGAGGAGGAGTGCAGCAAGCTCGCCACGGAGCGCAATCTGCTGGCCATTAATTGGCAGATCAGAAGGAGCTGCTTGTGAAGACATAGAGGGAGGCGGAGGAGACGTAAACCGCCCTCCTGGCCGAGTTCGGAAGCGAGCGCTCCTCCTGGTCTGACAAGGAGGCGATGCTAGCCTCCGGCTTCCATGAGATTGAAGACATCGTTGATGGTGAGTTTCTTTTTACTTTCTTTCTTTGAGCTGTCAATTTAAGTCATGCTGACTCCTGGTTTTTGACTTGCTTCTTTGTTTCTTCTTGTCTTTGCAGACTTCTTTCCTGAGCACTCGCAGGCCGCCATCCAAGCCATCGAGGCTGACCGTGAAGGTCGGAGGGCAGAGGGTGCAGAGGTTGCCGCCGACGCCCACCGAACTCTTGACGAGCACATCCTGAGAGTCTCGCCTTCGGCCGGCTCACCGTATGCTGCACCGGCTTCAGTGTGTTGGTGCCCAGGCGATTGCCGCCCTGTGGCCGGACATGCAGGCTCCGCGCACCCCCAGCCTGACGGCCGACTGGATAGAGGTCGCGGCTTGTTGTCTTGAGGCCTGGAAGGGCTCTTCGGCCTGAGCTGGAGCGTGCCGGGCCTTGGAGTTCGTCAAGGCATGGTATCCGGGGCTGGATCTAGACCGGCTGGCCACGCTTTGGTCGGAGGCCCAGCCGGAGCTGGTAGCTGCGGAAGATGCCCTCGTCAAACGTGCTGCGGCGATCGCCGAGTACACCGACACCAGCATCTTCGTCCCCGAGCGGTCTGAAGACGGCGAGGAGGTACCGCCGAAGTGGTTTGGGATGAACCCAGACTACGGCGAGGACTCGGCAGAGGTGATTGGCTCCAGCGTCGAGGAAGAGGGCGAGGCGGCGGACGGAGGCGAGGCGAAGGTACCAGAAGATGGAGCAGACGGCCAGCCTCAGCTCGACCGCGCCTCCAGCAACGAGCCACGTGCGACCGAGTCGACTGCCGCCGGAGGCGATCAAGCCGAGACTACCCAGCCGGCCGCCCCGACGCCTGACGTTGGCGCCTCCTCCGACCCTCCGAATCCGTCTACTACTTCCTAAGCTACCGTTGTATCTTTGTTTTGTCTGCTTCAGTAGTCTTTGAAGAACTTGTTAATTCGCACAATTCCACCCGCGGGGTGTATTTTGAACTTCTGTTCGAAGATTCGGCCAAGGGCCTATGTTATGTAAATATATTTACCCGAGTTCTATCTTTTCTTGCTCATTGCTCTTTGGCTTTTTTCCTTTGCCGCTTTCTCTTAGTTGCCTGCCTTGCCAATCGGACGGCCGCTCTGCGGACTGTCGCTGGATCAAATGCTTGGCTACTTTGGGAAGGCAAGTACTTTGCTGTTTTCAAGAGTTTTTGAGCAAGTTGGATAGAAGACGGCAATCCGACTATTCGAGAGTCGGTTTGCGAAAAAAGGCTGGAAGCCGTCTTGAGCTATGTTTTATGCTTTGAGTCCTTAACCATTTTCATGTGAACGCCCATTCTACCTTACCTCTGCCCACCGTACAGTCGCTCTGCAAGCTGCGGTTTCTGACAAAAGACAGTTTAGGTGTTACACACTACTTGTCCGGCTGCAGGAAGTATTTCATAGTGCAAGGCGGCAAGTCCCCAGGTCGACTTGTCGAGCCCGGTGCCAAGCGACATGACAAAGAGTAACATACTTGTAAGCATAATTTTTATCATACAGACAAAAGAGGGCAGTCCTGGAGCTCGTCTCGGGGGGCCCGAAGTCTTGGTACTTTAATACAAAAGGTAGCGTGGTACATATTGCATCAACTGTAAAACCTTCGAAGGAGATTTGCATTCCATGGCCGCTCTGTCTCCTTGCCGGAGTCGTCCCTCTTGCGTGCTCGGGGCTTCTGAGCGTCAATCAGGTAGTAGGAATCATTGCCCAGTACTTTGCTGATGATGAAAGGGCCTTCCCAAGGCGCCGACAACTTGTGCTGGCCGGCTGTTCGCTGGATCAGCCGGAGCACAAGGTCGCCTTGTTGGAAAGATCTTGGCCTGACCTTCCTGTTGTGGTATCGGTGCAGGTTCTGCTGGTAGATGCTGGACCGGCTGAGTGCCAACAGTCGGCCCTCTTCCAGCAGATCGACGCCATCTTGTCGTGCTTCTTCTGCTTCCTCCTCGGTGTACATGGTGACTCGTGGGGAATCAAACTCTATGTCCGTTGGGATGATGGCTTCGGCACTATAGACGAGGAAGAATGGCGTGAAGCCGGTTGACTTGTTTGGAGTCGTGCACAGACTCCAGAGGACGGCTGGCAGCTCGTCGAGCCAGTAGCCAGCCAAGCGCTCCAGAGGCTCGATCAGCCGATGCTTGATGCCGGACATGATGAGGCCGTTTGCTCGCTCCACTTGGCCGTTTGACTGGGGATGGGCGATGGACACTAGGTCCAGTCAGATGCCCTGTGTTGCGCAGAAACGGGCCAAGGCGCCTTTGGCGAAATTTATGCCGTTGTCGGTGATGATGTTGTGTGGTATGCCGTACCGAATTGTGATATCGGAGATGAAAGTTACGGCAGTCGGACCGTTCAGCTTCTTGATTGGCGTTGCTTCTATCCACTTGGTGAACTTGTCCACTGCGACAAGTAAGTGAGTTAAACCACCTCGTGCTGTCTTGAATGGTCCCACCATGTCTAGACCCCAAACTGCAAAAGGCCAGGCAATGGGGATGGTCTTGAGTGCAGAAGCTGGCTGGTGCGGCTTGGAGCTGAACTTCTGGCACCCTTTGCATTTTTGGACCAACTCCTTGGCCTCTTCCAAGGCAGTTGGCCAGAAGAAACCATGTCGAAAGGCTTTGGCGACAAGTGCTCTTGAAGCCGCATGGTGGTCGCACTCGCCTTGATGGATGTCTTTGAGAATCGCTTGGCCTTGCTCTGGCTCTACGCAGCGCTGGTAGACACCAGTGACGCTG